ACTAGGATGCCGACTTTGTGATAAGCTTCTTTCTGACAACTGTGAAAAAGTTGATACCCTTCGTTTTAAAAACTTTCTAAATTGCCAATTTATTTTGAAAACTAGCGACTGGGAGAACTGAATTCAAGTTTTTCAAACTGCAGCACTCGCCATACTGTGCATGTACTTGCCCGACGAGTAATTTCTCAACTAGCCTATGCCTTTGTTTTAAGAATAGCCGCTGCTTTACTGCTGTAGGACGTGAGGGGACGCAGTGTGGGTTGATTTTCTGCCACGGGCATCTGCATGCTAAATTCATGCGAGTTCAGCCGTTAGGAAATATGTACTGTTGTCAGCTCGGACTGTGCTCTATACCCTTTTTGGTTGCTTGTTTGCAAATCGCATAAAACATACCTTCAGTGCCACGATTTGACTAATTGAGGGGTCCTCCAGCATGCCTAGTTGGAACGCAGGTGCAATAAAGTAGCCTTCGGTAATTCCAGTCTTTATGAAGTTGAAGGCATCCTCCGTCTTCACGTGCGCTGCGGCTTGGAAGATGAGTTGTCTGTAAGGAGAATTTGGCATTCCTGTGAGAAATTCGAAAGCTTAAAAACGGGATAACTGAAGTTGATGCGAGTTTTACTGAGCGTGAATTTGCAGTCCAGTGGCATACTGGGTCCTTGTGTTGGCATACACCCGAAAGAACACGATTAACGTCCGTCGCAGGCTTTAACGCAACGGAGGAAAATGGCAAGCCTATCACAAAGGTAATAGGTAAAACCTTTGCCGCTGCGATCTTCAAGCCTTGGCTCTGTGTGGAAAACGAAGAAACGAGATGCCAGATGGGTGGAATAGTGTATTCTCGGTAGATGTAGTGTTAATAAGAATAGAAATAAAACCGGGGTGACCTGACAAACGATTCGGAGAGGAATTTTTCTGCGCCCTTGAACATAATAGACTATTCCTTTTCTCTTTTTTTAATCCAAGGAAAATAAGAGACCCCGCATGGAGATAAATGCCCTTACTTAGTTGGCATGTGGCTGTCCTCTTCCTTGCTCAATGCCCACAGCCCCAACGTCCTGTATCTTCGCAGACCCAAAGACCCTTTGTTATAGCGACGGGTTCTGCGTCACTAGTGTTATAACGGTGGCATCTGATGTGTGTCACCGTCGAATTAGGCTCTGTTGAAATCTCCAAGGAAG